AAATACTACTTTATGTTACGTTATGTAAAAGCAACGGAAGCTTTTTTTTGAAGTCAAAAACGTCTTGATATCTTTTTTCATTTAAATTAGTTTTGCTATTTTTTCGCATTTTATTTAATTAATGACATTTCGATGTATTTTACTTATCCTTGGTTTCTTGTATCTCTTTGCTCTTCAAATACTTATAAAGTTATAGCTTTTTTAGTGTTTATTTATATTCATTCGACATAAGAATGCAGTTATTAATAAATAAAAACAAAAAAAAAATATACTCATGGAATATTATTCGATTTTCAAATTTTTGTAGATTTATCTGGTGTAGTTTATGAATAATGAACAAGGAACGCAATTTTTAACGTCATATTGTAGGCGTGTCCTTCGATCGATATGCGCCATTTTCTATACCAGCCTCTGCCCAATAATTTCCAATGCTTCTGCCAGCTTCATTTTTGTGGCCAAGAGACAAACAAAGATCACATAGATGGGCAGACAGCCAGCCGGACGTACACAAACCGATTTATAATTAGATGCTGATCAGGAATGTATACACTCTCAAGTTTCCCTCTTGCAAAGGCATCATTCTATGGTGATGGACGGAAAAATTACAAATTAACCTTTCTCTTCGCCTTTCCGTCTGTCCGTTTGTACTTTTGTCCCTCTATCTGTCAGTCCGTCCGTCCAATGTCTGCCCATATAAATTTGTGTTCAAGCTCTAGGCACGGTAACACTCTGCGACCGATTTTGATTTATCTATAAATTCATTGATATTTCGCCAGCGTATATAACCTTTATCAATAAGTTCCTGAACAGATGTCGGTACTCCTCAGAAATTAGAATCTTGAAAAAAAAAGAAAAAATTAAAATAAGCACAAATTTTTTCATTTTCACGTTTTGTTTCATCTCCGCACCACTGTCAATAGAAATATTTGGGATGGCAATGCTTTTCAATTCTACTATTTTTTTTTTAATAACTATGTGTTTTCACATATACAATGAAAGCTGATAACAGTATCTGCAAATTAACAGAAATTTTGCAGACGTGCATTTCTTTCTCTCTTTCATACAATCGGTCATTTCAATTTTGACCGCGGATAAAATAAGATCGTCAAGTAAGAAGTAAAAAAGTTTTTTTTTTCATATTTAAAATTTTTCCAAAAATTGAATGAAGAGGCTTTATTAAAGTCTTAGGAATGTACCTAACGGAAGACGTGACGAATTCTCCCAACAAGTGAAAGGTATTTGTCATAAAATCATAAAACTAAAAAGCGCATGATTGGATTGAAAAGTGAGCTAGCTGGTTTGCTGGGCGAGTATTCGCGCGTATAAATGTCCATTTTAACTGTTACTAATGTAAGTTTTCATATGCCGCATCTACTAAAGGAATTGAATAATTAAATGAAAACTATCTTTCAGCCATGGTATGATAAAATGTAATAAATAAGGAATGGTCAATCACGCTTTTCTAGTCTGAAACGCATTATCAAAACTACTACAAAAAGATTAAGTTTTTTTTTTTTTTTTGCTTGAAATATAATATATAATCTTGTATATATAAATGTATAAAAAATAAGCATTTATCTCCCCTTGTACGTCTCCTGAATAGTTTTATACAATTTTTATAGGCGTGGCGTTCGATTTTGCCCTATTTTGAAAAATTTTCTCCTAATTCGTACAAGTGCTTGAAATATAATATATAATCTCTCAAATATCTTAAACAACCGTATTACTCCTTAAGCGTCAATTTAAGTCAGTAAGTAAGTAAAATTTTAAAAAGTCAACATAACGAAGTCGATGCCTGTAAATGTTACGTGCTAAAGCAGCAAATAAATGTCTTTCTTCATTATTTCCTTTCTGCAAAAATCCGTCAATTTGGCGGATTATTTTTTGTAAATCGTTACAACCGCAAAAATAAAGAACGTGAAATTTGGCACAAACATTCCTTTTTCGTTTGAAGATTCAAAGTTGAAAATAAACGCAACCGCTGAGCAAACACGCCCACTGTGCAGAGAAAACTGAAATATCCGGTAACACCAACAATATTTTCAAATTTTTGGCTATATATTTGTTCGGGTGTTCATGAAAATAACATATACTTTTTTATGAATTGGGTATTATTGCCAAAATGAGTGAATAGGCGAAGTGATGTGGTGTGTCTAATGGCCAAACTTATCTAACTATAATGTTCCCACTTGTTTCTAACCTATTGTACAAATTCAACAGCTTTCATCTTGCTTGGGAAACAAATTACAACCCCACAGTTCGTAGGCCATTGAACACCTTAAATACTTTACACTATTTCGCTTAATACAATACAGCACCTTTTTTCGTTATAAAACCCCAAAAATTTATACCTTGCTGCCACTTAAAGTCTTCCCGCCTCTCAGATGATTATGTGAAAAGGAAACCGAAAAGTTGGCCAATTTAGTCAATTACTACTCTGCCATATCACTAGTCTCGCTCAACTTTTATCACAAAGTAGTACAAGTTAAATCTTGTTACTTTATAACAACTTTTTTTTGGAACATCGTCTATACAAGAAGGGACCCCAAGAATAGCTCGATTGTATCTACATTCAATTAACATATCAAAATACTAGTTTTCAGCGGTTTTTTTAGGGATATGTTTATGATTGCAGATTTTTTTCACGTAACGACGCAGTTTCAATGTCAAATAAGTTGTTATATAAAATTTGATGAAAAGATAACAAAAACTTGTAATTTGCAAGCCGCACACAAGATTACGTGGATATAAACGTCGGACAGCCACATAAGCAAATAAATTAAATTATAAAAAATGAATTGCAAAAATAAACAGTTAGTAAATTAAATTAAAGCAGCAATTTGCGAAAATCGAATGGAAAGTATATGTGTGATTATGACATGTTTGTGGAAGATGTTAGTGTGTTTATGACAGATTTTTGGAAGGTTTTAGTGTGGTTATGACCACACATAGTTAACATATATAACGTGCAATTAACAATATGTAGACAAATAAAACAGTTGTGAATTGAAAACAAATTAAATTCCATACAAAATTGTTTACTTACAAACAACTAAACTGAAACAAAAATTTTAAATTATTGGACGTTAAGAAAATTTATTCTTTTTTTTAAACGCTTGAGTGGTCGTGTATGCACAGAATCTCGACTCAACGGCCTTGGTTAAATCACAAGTGCGGTAAAGTTTTCAATAAGGCCGAATGTTAGTGCTTTACTTAGTGCTTTTATCCTTAGAATTTGTTTCTGTGATTAATCGTAATAATAAAAATAATGAATCTTTCATTTTGCTTTTTACTCCGATTGTCTAATTAATACTCCTTATTTGCCAAAGCTTATAATCAATTGTGTATCGTCAACCACTCCGTATGTCGTTATATTTACTGCCACTACCATTTGATGAAGCGCAAAGGACCACCAAATAGTAAAAGTTCATCCTCTCCTGAGTACATTAACATTATCGCTAACAGGGTTAATCCATTTAACTAAGCAAGACCAAAACAAAGGTAAGTATAAGGTTGTTGTTAAATAATCAAGTAATCAGTTTCTTAATTCATATATGTCATATGGCAGCAAAGGAACTTTCAGATTGTCAGAAAAGGAATTTTGGAAGATATCAAAGGGCTCTGCGCGACGCTTCAAATTCTCTTACGTTACGTATATGTTATTTCGTTTATACATGTAAATATTTTATACGTAATGTTTACGTTAAAAACTGTGGCAGAAAATTTTTCGTTTCCAGGTTCGAGGCAACATATTTTGACATCGTTGTCAACGTTTCGCTAGGGGCATTTCAATTGAGGTTCGCAAATGAGGAAATAACAATCGTTATATTTTCCGTACTTTCAAATTGCATTGTATTGAAATAAAAGATGTGAAGAATAAATCCGCTTTAAGATATTTTGTGAAAATTTAAAAGTCGGATTTTATTTATAATATAATGCAAAACTAGGATTGATCTCGAGTTCATTTTATTCATATTAAATTCAAAGTTCAAGTTCACAATTAAAAATTTTGCTAAGAAATCAAAACGTGTATCACTGTAAACAAACAAACGTCAAATTTGCCACTTATTTTCTCATTATTTTTTCGAAATAAATTTCGAAAGACGAAAGCAATACATACCTGAAAACCAAATGAGAATTACTTAACTAAAAGATACGCAATCACTGCCTAGCTCCTTAATTTCCTTATCAATTAAGTGGATATAAAGCACTGCTTAGGCTGCTCTATCTTTTAAAAGTGAAGTAAAAAGTTGAAACCCTCCTAAAATAGCAAAAAAAAAAACTTCAAATTAATATGGCAACTTGAAGAACATTCGCAATCCTCGCTTCACAACAATACGGCAGTGAAACTATTGGATTTTTTCGATTCGACGATGTCTGCCATTCATGTTCGTACCACGTGCCTAATGACTTAAAAAACGAAGCCACGTTAGTTCATTCGTCCGTTTACGATTGAGAGCATAGAGTTAGTAAAAAACCACTCAACCACTGCTCGCCTTCAAAAATTAGCTGAACTCAATATAACGTATTGTATATTTGAAAAATACTGTTACAATTAACGAGGGTTGACATAATAGAGCTTCTCTTATATTCCCGTATTTGAAGGGAAATTCAATTTGCACATTTTTTAAAAAATCGTTATTCAAATTTATAAATCGATAATACAAATTTATAAAATTTACGAAATTTATAAATTACATTTCTTCTCCAGACTCGGGAATATAACCGGATTATAGTATTTCTGGTAATCTCTATACTTCTTCTATGCGTGTTTTTAATTTATCTGGTAACCTCGGCTTTTAGACGTCTGTAATATTATTTAAATTTCATTTTTTTCATATTTTTTCCATATACTACGTTGAGATTTGAAATTAAAAATTTGGTTTTCGGAAAATCAATTCTTGGAATCAGGAAAAATCTGAGTAATTTATTTGTATAATCGTATATAAAATTGTGTAATTTTTGCGAAAAGCTGCGCTGTTTTAAAATCTTAAGAAATTATGTTTGGAACATTACGTTCAAATTCGCTCCGAAACACTTCAAAAATTTTCCGTCATGTGCGTAGATACGCATCACAATTTCTCAATCAGGTGATTCAAATGCAACATACGGAAATCTGTGCTGATCCTCCTTCCCGTGCCTTAGTATTGGGCGTATACGCCGACGAGGATGATAGCCATGACGCGGGCATTCTAACACCGGCGGCATGGCGATATAACGTTTCAAGAACGAATGGTCGCTTAATTGAAGTACTGCGAATGTCCGGACCTTTGCCTAGGCGTGGGGAGGCCAGAATTCTATTTGCACAGGAAGTTGAAAAAGTACCATATTATTCCGCCGTAGCTGTGGTGGGTTTGGGTAAAGAATGTCTGGGCTATAATCCTTATGAAATAATCGACGAACAAAAAGAAGGCATACGACGATCAGTAGCTAAGGCATGCATGGACCTGGCACTTTTAAACACAAATAGGATTGAAGTCGAGAACTGTGGCCACGCAGAATCTGCCGCTGAGGGTGCCGCGTTAGGTGTTTGGGCCTATCAAGAATTGCGAAACAGAGACAATCGCATACCTGTACCTACGGTTGACTTGTACACTACCAAGGAGGAAGTCTGCGATCTTGAAGGATTCCGCATTGGACTTCAGAAAGCAGCTGCTCAAAATTTAACACGTCAATTACAGGAAATGCCTTCGAACATTTTAACGCCCACTTCGTTTGCCCAAAATGTGGTTGAGGTGTTGTGTAAATCGGGTGTAAACGTAGAGGTCAAAGTCGAAGGGTGGGCCGAAAGCCAGGTGATGAATGCTTTTTTGTCCGTGGGGAAAGCTTCATGTGAGCCGCCAATCTTTTTAGAGCTTAGTTATTATGGCACAGCGGCTGATGAAAGACCGATTGTAATGATTGGTCAGGGCATAACATATGATTGCGGTGGACTTTGCTTGAAATCAAAGGACCAATTATATGTTAAGCGCGGTGATATGACGGGAGCTGCTGTAGTTGTTGCAACTTGCAGAGCCATAGCAGCTTTACGTTTGCCGGTTAACATAAGAGGTCTTGTTCCACTTTGTGAAAATGTTTTGGGTTGCAACTCATTTCGTCCAGGAGATACTGTAAAGTGCATGAATGGCAAACACATAAAAATTCAAGGCACCGATCAAGCAGACGTTTTAATATTGGCTGACACTCTTCTGTATGCTCAAAATTTTTGTCCTAAATGCATTGTCGATGTAGGTACTAACTCATGGCATATGCGCGAAGTATTGGGAGAGGCTGCTTGCGGCGTTTTTACAAATTCGGAAATTCTATGGCAGCAGATTAAACATGCTAGCATGCATACGGGCGACAGAGTTTGGAGAATGCCGCTATGGGAATATTACACGCAACTAATAAGAGGTGGCATGTCGTCTGACGTACAAAATTATGGTGCAGGCCGGGGCGGTAAGCCCTGCAAAGCTGCTGCATTTTTGCGAGAGTTTGTTCCTTGTGGTCAATGGATGCACATGGATGCAACCAATGTAATGACCACCAGGGGCACAACTTTTGAATACTTACGGGCAGGAATGGCAGGTCGCCCTACACGTACCTTAATTGAATTTATCGCTCAGACAATATGCGCCGATACGGCCCCCAAAATGCCCAAAAAATAATAGGAAGAGCTTGAGTAAATGTCTTTGTATAAAAAACCAACGAAACTGATGTCTAAATTTCTGCTTTTTAAAATATTTTGAAAATGTTTGGCCTGAAAGTACGCAGGTGTATACATACTTGCATCTGTAAATTGAATGTTTTCGCATAAAAATTGTGAGGTATATATACATGTAATATTTTTGTTTACAAATGTATATTTTTGATCTGTTTATGAAATAAATTTATTTACAAAATTAAATTTATTTACTTTGTTCACAAAAAGTTGAATTAGCATATTTAATATAATATCTGATACTGTGAAAAAATTTTAAGCCCAAGAGTATTACGTTTTTCAGAATCAACTAAATAGGGACATACTCGCTATGAGAAGATGAATTGTCTCAAAAATCTAAAAAATTTGTTAACGATAACCAAAATTTTCGCAATAGTGGTTCATTGAATATATTGTACGATTGCAAACTAGAAATGAAACGGTGAACGCTACTAAAGTTGTCACAAAGAGCTCGAAAGGGATTAAATAGTTTAATTAAATGAAATTTGCGAGTTACGCGACAATTATTGTCAATTTATTGTCAATTTTATTTAATAAGACAGGTGTGTTAATTCTGCAGTTCAGCAGATTACACATAAAAATAATACTTAAAACTAATTTGCGTTTTGCCAACAAGGGTAAGTCATCTAGTTCAAGTCTAAGTTCATAAAGTGATAAAGGTCCCATCGCCGATTGCATAGCGTACATAGTAAGAACCATTCTCGGATATACTGAACTGTGGTAATGGAGCAAATGAGCAAACTCATGAATAATCGTTGCTTTACATAAGGATTATCCAATTCTTTCAAACATCCCCCAATGATGCCTAGCAAACTTTTTGCTTTATTTGAGTAGATAAAGGCGATTACTGTTATCAAAAACCACACTAACATTGTTAATATGGTAAACTGCAGAAAAAGGAGATCTTGTAAGGAACGTCAACTTTTTGCAGTTATTTGAGCTTAAATGCAAGAAATATACTTTATATTGTAAGACCGTGAACATCAGCGAGTAACAGTTGCGGACGAGGAAGTTAAAATATTAACACAATTTACTCACTCGGCTTATAAATAATATAATAGGGATAAGGCATAATTTTATCAATCCGCTAAGTCATTTATATCAGACTGCTGGACACTTAGACTTTCCCTGAAATTAAGAGAAAAGAAAATATACATACGAAATTTTGAAAAATTATTTCCTTTGAATTTTCTTTCATTAACACATGTCGTTACGCATACGCCACCATATGGTTATTTCTTTCATTCTGTAAAAATTTCCATGTTGTGATAAATATGAGTGCACTTTTTATATAAATTTGCTTTCGACTTACTAACAGTAAGAAAAATACTTATACCTCTATTATCTGATTTAATTTATACAAAAAAATCGTTGTTAATAAAAAAAACAATAGTAGAATGCATGGCGAAGACCATATCGAATGTACTTTTTACTTACTTCATTAATTAAGATTAAAATGTCGACACGAAACTCCGCTCAACGAAACCCACGTTTTTTCTCTCGGAACTTTTCTTGCTAGGCAGACAAAACGTGAAATTACGATAATGGAAACATGTTCTATTTTTATTCAATAAAGGATGAAGTAATTTAATTGAAATGTATAATGAGACAATTTAAAAAGGACCGTCTCTCGCTCTTTAACTTTCATAACGCGTTAAAGTCAGCCGAAGTTTGCAATTTTCGTGGAATTATTCTACCTGGTTGAGTATCTGCAAAAAAAAATTAACAATTTAGTTCTTACATTTAATGAAATATATAATTATGAGAAATAAATTGAATCAAGTGAGAATTATTACTATTAGATATCGCACACCACTTCGTCTAGTACAGGTCTAGTACCAAGTCTGCCAGTTGCCCACTTTAATTCGTCGCTACTCATTTGCGAGTAAACGTCTGAACGAGTTTGAATTGAAATTTTCTTTCAATGTTCCTCTCGCTTCTTACAGTCTTGTCCCTTAAAATATATTGTTTATCATTAAAGAGTCACAGAATCTTAGCATCGTATTGTGGGTGTGCTTGTGAACGGACCGTGAATGTTTGTAAAGTTCTTACCTATTAACGAAATATGGAAATTCCGGCTTCTTTTTACCAACTCTTTCTAATTCAAACGTTGGCCCCATTCCATCCAAATTTTTTCCACCCATATCCAAACACAAAATTATTTTCATCAACTTTTATGAAAAGAAAATGTGAAAAGTAGAAAATTTTTTTCTTACGACTCTTTTCTCACTTCTGGAATTAGCATTTGCATTTTTCCCCTATCCTTCAAAAACGCTCTTCTTTTTTACCTTATGATAATGCAAAACATCAGCTATGGACTTGCTAGATTAGTGTTTATTTTTAATTTTTGCTTTTAGTTCTCGTAAACTATTAAAAAGTGCAGAGTTTTTAGGTATAGGAAAAAGGGATACATTATATCGATTTATTTAAATTCCATCTCTCTCGGCGTTTATATTTTTGGCTGATGCCAAAGTTATTTCTAATTATAATTCTGTTTACGTCCTTGTTTGTTTCCTTTGTTTATCATTCGTAATTCCATATTGGTTGCAAAAAGTTTTAGAAATTTTTTAGTTTTGTCGAAATTCCAAATATTTTGTTTGCTCTAGCACTTTGATTTTGCCTATACGCAACTGTATCTATCCCTTACAGAAGGTAATTCTTTTGTAAAAATGTACATATTCTACATAAAAATTTATATTTTTATAAATTCATCCCTCCTCTTTGACAATTTCCAAAAGGAAGATGCGTCTCTTTCTTAATTTAACACCGTTGGGTAAACCTTTAGTCGATTATACCCGTAATATGTATTCATACAGGTATGCGTCAGTGCCCGATGGGAATTAACCAACTCATTATTCATATCATTGTTCTTAATGTATTGTTCTCACTAACTCGACACGCCACTTCGACTTTGGTTTACTATTGATTCTTTCGCGGGGACTCTTGGATTGAGGGATGTTCGTGGTAAAGAAAGAAGAAATGAATTGTCGTGATCAGGCATCAAGAGGAGGACAATGTGAACTGCGAAAGGTGAATGTTAACTAACGGAGTTAAAAATAGCAACGTAAAGAACAACCGGCAAATGACGCCTAATATTAATATCGATCGCTACTTAAAGGTTTGTGCAGGAACAAAAACACTATTATTGTTTACATTTGCATATGTTATAATGGGTCCTGTATATGTTTTCCAAAATTTTTAGTTAATTTTTTGTTGTTTTAAAATTGAATGCTTAAGCCTCTGTCTATAGCAAAGGAGTAAAGGAGCTTTCTTTTTCCTAGGCCATAACCCTCTACCTCGTTACCAATTTAAATATTAGATTACCGAATGCAAATGCTTGCTCAGTCGTTCATGCCTTAAAAAAAAAGGATAAAATTATAGGTATTGTATTTCAAAATTACAAGGTAGTAGGAATGTGGAACTTCAAAAGTGTTTGTAAAATGCGTACGTTTCAAACGTTTGGAGAACTTTACTGCTCAAAACATACTGCCCATGGTCATGCTTTTTTTTAAATTTTCTTCAAAGGATTTTTTTTTAATTTAATTTCGTTGAGGACACCTGGTCTAGATCGGAACTCATATCAAGTGATTAATGCTTTAATTTAAGTAAAGAGGAAATTACCGGACCTATACAATACGGTATTTTGGATTGGCCATATACACTACATGTGAAAACTGGCAGCAGTTGGTCCAAATCCAAAATCAAAAAATGTCTCCATTGTGTCGGACTATCGCCCAATCACTCTTTTATCTTGCCTCTCAAAAGTATTAGAAAAGATTATAGCATATACATTGTCCTGGCTTCTTGAGTCCAAGAACCTGATCACAAAACAACAAGTTGGTTTCAAGCGGAGTAGACGTGCATCGATGCTCTTTTACATATTGATTATTTTACAATCAAAGCAATTTCTGAAAGGAATCATGTAACAATTCTCTCAATTCATTTCGAAAAAGCATTTGACAGACTTAGTCTTCATGTTATTTTAAGAGCCATGAAATCATAGAATGTTGTCCCCAATTTCTTCAACTACATCAAATCATTCATGTCGCATCGGCGGTTTAAAGTAAGAGTTAACATTCATCTCTCTGATTTCTTTCCGCTAATGAATGGCACTCCACAAAAATCCCCTTTTCTGCCACGTTTTTTCAGATCGCTTTCAATGGAAATAGTAAAATTCTTTGCCGTGTACCGAGAATTGAACATTAACTCTGTGCGGACGATGTATTCATTTTAACAAAAGAAAAAGATAGTACAATGGCAGTCAACATCCTAGAACCTATTGGACGGGAGATCTCCATATGGGCAAACCTATCAGACGTTAAAATTTCTATACAAGAATCAAAAACAGTCCACATTTGTCGAAAGCAGATATGTGATGCAAGAAATCTACTGATGCCATACGCACATTAACACTATTGCTTATCTTACCAAAATGCTTGTTGCAAGATTGACCATGCTTTCATAATTTATAGCAATAGCTGCAAATCTAATATCAATATCCTTAAACCGGCCTGTAACCAAGCCGTCAGAGCAAGTTGCTATGCTTTTCGAAGCCCATAACTAATATTATAATTGACACTGGTTTCCTAGCTTTGGAAAATAGACTTGATGAGTTAAAAGCTGAAATCGTCCCCAAACTTCTTAATTAAAACGAAATTGTGAGAAACATTTTTATTGCCAAGAAGACTAGAAAGTCAACATCTGCAATTGAACATTGTTTGTACGTCGCAAAGGAACTGGTCGTTTCCTTATAAATTTTCCACTATTTTGGTCTTAAACCTCCATGGATTTTGAAAGACTACTCTTTTGAATTTTCGCTGTCTATGCCCAAGAAAGAAGATACTCCAAATTACGTCTTCAGGAAAAAATCCAAGTACTGGAGAGTAACGGTTAGAATCTTTAGTATACACATAGCTCAAAATTTTCCGGTCTGCCACCTGCTTGTGG